GCGAGGGAGATGTCTGGCTTCCTCCTCGTGGGATCGTCCCGAACGCCGTCGACGAGCTTGATCTCGCTCTTGGAGCCGGTCATCTTCTTGATCAGCTGGGCGAATTCGCCGATCTCGTATTCGTCTGGGTTGCCCAGATTCACGGGCATGGTGTAGCTGCTGTTCATGAGGCGCAGAAGCCCGTCGACCAGGTCTGACACGTACTGGAAGCTCCTCGTGTTGTTTCCCTTGCCGTAGATCTAAATTGGGTTCAAAATGTCATGCCCAAAGAACTTCATTGAAATTATGAGAATAGTGCCGCTATTTTTTTTTCAAAGAGAAAGGACTTGTTGATACATGCCCATGAATGCTAGCGATACCATCTGGATGTTCTCCCATGTGCTATTTGCGACGTTTTCACTTGTACTTATTTGGATCACTAGCGGTACTAACAATAACCGTAGCAATAATTTATGATTAGATGAAGCATTTTGGGTTTTCTACGCTAAAAAAACCTACACGGACCAGAGACTTAAGTCACAGCATCTCATCGGGCTCTCCATGAAGAACATTGAAATGTGCGGTTTATATAATGAAAATATTATAGGATTCCTGTAGGATTCCAAAAAGTATACTACATTATTCTATAAGAACTCCATAGTATTCCTATAGGATCCTATAATACATTTTTGTTTTGAAGGGATTCAGCGCCGACTCCGCTCCATCAATATCACCATTTTCGCTTGGTTTTTGCCTAGATAATTGGTCGCAGAGGCGACAAACGAACCGTGATGGGAGCGTCGCCGAGAGCCTGGAGGATGAAGTTGGACACGACTCTGCCATCCTGCACGCTCATCCTGGGACCGAAGGTGTTGAAGATCCGGGCGATGCGGACGTCCACATTCTCGCGATCCCTGTAGGCCATGCAGAGCGTCTCTCCCAGACGCTTCGATTCGTCGTAGCACGATCGCGGTCCTGTTGGATGACATTCCAGCCTCATCGCACTGGGTTAACAGAAAGTGTCCGTTACAGCAAGGGAGTTGAGATCGTGCGGGTAAACCCATGCGCCTGTGACCTGGGTTGCAAGTTTCCGTGCATGTTTTGAGGAGTATTTTTTACCTAATCCAAGAAAATCATAGGATGCCTTCGGACCACCGGAGCGTTCTTTTGTCACTTCAGTATGAATAGTCTGAGAATGGTCTCGGCGTCGCAATATCGAATCGCAAGGTAATGGTAAAATGGTAAAAATGGTAAAAATGGTAAAAATGGTAAAAATGGTAAAAATGGTAAAAATGGTAAAAATGGTAAAAATTGTAAAAATGGTAAAAATGGTAAAAATGGTAAAAATTGTAAAAATGGTAAAAATTGTAAAAATGGTAAAAATTGTAAAAATGGTAAACATGGTAAAAATGGTGAAATGGAATGGAATGGTAAAAACCACAAGAGTCGCTAAGGAAAAAACGTGAATCCTCGCACACTGAACGAAGTCAGAGGAAAAGAATCAGTCAGTCGAAGGGAAAGGCAAGGAGGAATTCCCCTTCTTGGCTGAAAGTAACGGGTAAAATTTGCATGGAAATGTCAATTTGCATACGACAAATGCATTCGCATGCTTGCCAACATAGAGATGCAAATTACAGTTCGTCGATTGAACGTTCGACCAGACGAACAATACTTGCAATATATTAAATATTAAATGAGGGGTGCCCAAACTGTATGCTTTATAATAAGGCAAATTCATGAGTCACCCCGTAGTCCCGCCCCATTGTGCTTTTCCGGCATGTCACGTATGGCCATTGCTGTGTTCGTCGATGAATTGTTCCCTGAGTTTTCGGACTCCAGGAATTTATTGTTTGGTCTCGTATGCATTTGTAAGTAAGGAGCACATTATGGTATTTAATTATTATAAACTTCGAAATTCGTCTCGCAATTTTCGATGTATTTTATTGCCTTTGAGTCATCTTTATGCTGCAAAAAAATTACAATTTTGTGTTGACTTCAGAGAACATGAATAGGTGAGATCCTTGCATTTCATCGAGATCATGTCGATGGAGATTTAAAAATCATTGGACGCGAATAAGCCTCATTACCCATTCCTCCGCTTAATAATCGGGGCTGAGGCTAAAGGAAAACCTTTTACCATTAACATTACCGTTTCCGGTTCTCTTAACCGCGTCCATAGTGGGAAATCAATTGGCGCTCAAGTTTGATCATTACCTCCATACGTTTTTCCCTCAGATACTATTTGGCGGACCACCAATGTCGAGAATGTCGGCTTGCAATTGCTGTAGATGAGATGCCGATGAGCGGCGAAATGAGAAGTGTATTGAATGAGATGAAAATAGGAACATATGGTAGATCCTTCCGCTAAGGCAGCATAGCAGTGGATAGCAGAAATAAATTATGGAAACTTGGTTATAGTGGCGATTCAAAAGTATATGCCGCAGACTGTTTCAACTCATGCAATTCACGGGTACCTCTGTCGTGGCATAGATGGCGACATTGTCGCTCCGAGCTTCCATCCATTACTCGCAAACGAGGTTATTACATCACCTGGCGAACTTTATGAAGATGCATATCGTAGATGCCTTCAAGTTAAGAGCAGACATTATGGTAAGGGTCCATTGCAGCCTATCCCAATAAAACATTCGATTCGCAAATCCTTAAACCACGGATTTCCCATAGAGCGCGTCCGTATGCTTAGGCTTAGACTCGGCGAAGTCAAACTTCTGAGTGAGAAGTTCCATTCGAGGAATTCTGAAAAACACCATCGTCCTCCTTGCTGTATCAGCTCGTAGAACGACCTTCCCTCTCCACAGCGCGTTCTCAAGCCAGGCCTTATCCCACCCTCGAGGCACAGTATGAAGCCGGTTCTCCCTCTATGCCTTCGAGGGAGAAGCTTCACAGACGAAGACTTCATTAAGCCCGCGATCGTTGCGATTAATAATCTATAAAAGTTGCACATGAACTCGCAGCCCAGACAAGCGAACATCTCTAAAATTTAAAAGCGCACAATCGAGATATATTCATAAGGAGGTCAAAATAATTTCCCGGATATGCAAGAGGAATTGGATTTTGCAATAATTGGTTAACTCATGCCTGCTCGACTATTGGAGACATGTTTCGCAAACTATCTCATGTTGCATGGGCGCGAATTGTTTTCCTCGCATGAAGAAACACTCTGATCAGTTTATCGACATTGTGAAGTTCTGAGCTTATCCTAAAACGGAGCATTCGGTGTCAAATTTAGACTTGGGTGTGCTCGATTATTGTACACCTTTTTTACGCGGTGCACCGGAAAGTTCCAATCTCCATGATTGCGCAGGTGACGGGAGGCGCCGGTTTCGTCGGCAGCCACCTGGTCGACCGCCTCATCAAGGATGGACACAACGTGATCGTCTTGGACAACCTCATCACGGGGAAGAGGCGGAACATCGAGCACTGGCTGGGACATCCCAATTTTCAATTCATTCTGCACGATGCCGTCCAACCCATCTACCTCGAGGTGCGTTTGGAATAGATTTTTTGGTTTAGTCGTTGCTCTCACGAAAAGATCCTCTAGGATCCTATGAGCTTCTTGAATCATTTAAATATGATAAGATTCTTGTAGGACTATCCACAGCCTTCTCTATAGCAAATTATTTTACAAGTGATAACAAAATTAAATGGTTACAAATTCGTATATTAAGAGGCGTCTTACCGACAAACGAAATATTATTCTATATGGACGTCCACCATTCCCATTCCTATGCCTGCAGCTTTGGTTGCGAAAATGTCGAAGATGTAGTGCAACTTTTTTGGGCTTGTCCTGTGGTGCAGGGGTTTTGGAAACAATTAGGCAATAGAGTTGCTGCTGTCTCCGGAATTGAGATTAAATTCACTTTATATTGTGTGTTATTTGGTTTCTTGAAGTCAAAACTTTATGTGTTGAATGCTCTCATGTTGTATGCGAAACATTTTATATATTGTCAAAAATTTAAAGGGAGCAGTTTGAATGTGGAGAGTTTCCAGTGTTATTTGAAATTTACGTCCCATCTTTGCTTTCGGTTTGTCATGCAAAATACATTTGAATAAAAATAAAAAAATAAAAAAAAAGATTCTTGTAGGAATCCGGAGGTTCTCATAGGATACTATAGAATCATTATACTGTTGTATCCTACGGGAATCCTATAGGTATACTATACGATTTTTATGATTTAAAAAAAAAATAATTAGGATTTCCAATAAGGGTGGCACTCAGGAGAGAATGATATGTCATGCCCCCTCGGGAGAAATCTGTATTTCGAATGTACTTCCTATGCACGTCAGCCCCGAATGGAAGCATGATCAAGGAGCCATACATGTTCTATTTTTCTTTAAAATTCCAAGGGAAGATTTACTTTATATTCCGGCGAAGAAAACCTTTCTCTTTCCCCAAAGTCAATCGACCGAAGTCAAAAGTAAAATCGTGCATTCATCTGAAAAAATATGACTGACATGCGTTTCGCAATTCATAATGGAGTATGCGTTCTTCCCGAAAGTATGCAACTCTGCTCTTCCGTGAGTCGTAAAGCTTTTCCTGGAGCATAGCAAACATGGTATATTGCCAGCATTAAAGATCAATATACAAAATGACAAGATGGCGCCATCGGTGGCCTTAGTAACCATGAAGATGCCGCATAGCAAACGAAGAGCATATGACTATTTTCTTGAGTGGAAGGCGGTCGCCCACTGTGGTGTAATGTGGCATGGTTATTTGATGTCCTTAAAAGAGTGAGAGTAGAGAGGGAGAGCAGTCGAGCTTAAGCAGCACTTTTGCTCTGCTTTGCTCTAAGGTGTATGAATGAAGAAATGAGGGAAGACACGTTCACCCGATGGGAACTTCCCCCTACTTGAATTGGTTCAGGCTATCACCAGAATCCAAGGTACAATATGAGAACAACTCTTTTAAAACGGAGGCAATGGACATGTACATGGGCGGGGCTTCACTTTTCGAAAGGTAGTGTTGTATGCTCGCCTTACGAAATATCAGA